GGCTCACCTTCCCTGCCCTAGGAGCATGGGATGGCGGCGGGGGAGCTTCCTTCCGGGTGCTGGGATCGGCTCAGCTTCTCTGCCCTAGCAGCATGGGATGGTTACTTTGATAGGTTCTAGGCAGGAGCTCTAAAAACCCTTGGGAAGGCCAGAGTGTTGCTAGTGTCTTTGTTATGCTAATGAGGCAATAATGAGGTAATGTGAGAGCACAATCTCCAGGGAGACCAAATTCAACCACATGGCCAATGATACAAGCAATCATGCCCATGTAATCAAACCCCAGTAAAACTGGTCTGCACTACAAATATGAGTGCAGCTCCTGGTTGAACAAAGATGTGTGGGGACCATGGGGAGGCCATCAAAGCTCTGCATTCCCTCCTAGCCTCACCCTGCCTGTGTCCTTCATAATGAAATAGCTGCTGTTAAGTACAAGGCTTAAGAGTTCTGAGTCACTCTAGGGAATTACCAAACAAGAGGCATGGGAACCTCAGACTGGTAACCAGCTAGTCAGTTACAGGTGGCTCAGGCCTCCCCAGACGTGTGGTTGCAGTATGAAATGAGGGACTTGTTCCTAACTTGTGAGTTTGCCACTAAACTCCAGGTAGTTAGATTCTGAACTACACCGCACACAACCTGTTGGTGGTGGGCCAGCTGGCCCGAAGCAGAACAGTAAACATCCTAAGAAAAGGTACTTTCAAAAGTAGAGCAAATGTCATAATCTGGTAATGGGCCATTGGCTTTGTTGATCAGGTTTTGTTTTTTTCTGCCACATACAGTGAGGAGGAAGAAACATTCACAGTTTCTGGGTGCCCCGGGGTCTCCTCATTTGGGCTGTGAAGGCAGCTCTCCCACTCTCAGCCCAGAGCAGCATCTACTCCCCCCACAGCACTCATCATGGCTTGCTTCTCTCACATGTAGGCCGGACTGCAGTGTGAAAGGCAGAGCCACCTCTTATTTACCTCTGTACTCTGAGTGCCAACCACAGTGCCCAGAACATGGTGGATAGCCCTGGCAGTTTAGTGAAGGAAGGAGTCACTGACATCGCTCTGCCCATAAAAATCCTTTCCAGCAAAGGAAAATGTTGGGAGTAGGTGGTTTGGTTTGAAACTTCAGTCTCTTT